CTTACCTCAACCATTTTTGAAAACAACCATTTTTGAACATATTATTCCAAATATTTCATTATATGTATAGCTACTCCTAGCGTCCTCAAATTTATATTAAGTGTAGAAAAGTATGTTGATAGTAGATGACGTAGATGACGTTCTACGTTATAGTCGAATAAGTTGCGAAAAATGAAGTAAAAAATATAGAATACATGTGCTATTAAGTGTGGTGGACTATACTATACCACATATTACTAAATAACATGTAGAAACATGAATATAAAAAAATAGAATAGAACAGTAGCATTATGGGCAGAAGTTATATTCTATTCAGAATCTTTTATCGGCTCGAACTTAGAAGGTGAAGTGGAAGTCCCTTAGTACCATATTAACATATAGTACAGGTAAGGTAAAAAATAAAGAAAATCCAATCACTTGCTGGTCATTGTTTCTTACGAATGCCATGTTAAAACCACTAAAACTATAACTGAATGCCACTTGGACTGTAATATATGATAAAAATCATAAATATTTAGTAAACGAAACAAATGTGGTTAAAATAAAGGCACTTCTTGGTTTGTTGAGATTTCAAACCATAGCAGTTTCTAAATGATCTTGGCTTACAACACATTACTGAGGCTGAAGAAGAAAAATTATAGAACAAACGAATCCTGTGTGGTTGTAGCTCACATGGCGATCTTTAAGAACATGTTGGTGAGTACATAGTAGCATTATGGGCACAAGTTATATTCGATTCAGAATCGTTTATCGGCTCAAACATATAAGAGAAATGACGATGAACTTGACGAACAAAACAATACACAGATTTTACATAATATTGACAAAGGCAAACTAATGGAACTACTAGAAACATACGAAATAAACAAATTTATCCACAATCACCCTAACACACAATGCCTAAATGAATAATTACAAAATAACAATAGACCTCTATACACATTTTTGAAAACCCCATACACAGCAACCAACAGACAAATGAACGAGAGAAACAAGGCAAAATAGCACCTTGTATTCTGCAACTTTTGTCTTCCTTGGCTACATTCCCATCCTAACCCCATATATATCCTACCCTACCTCCTGCCCCAACCCAATTACAATTTAATTTTAATACTCTACAATGACGAAAGATATACAGAATATATAAAGCATAGAAAATTCTAACCTACCACAAATTTAACAGAGAGGAAGAAAATAATAGATAAGATAAACGATTGCATATGTAAAGAAAGGAAAATAACAAAATAACGAAAAACACAATAACAAATAACAACACAATATAAAACAAAAGGCAAATGAACGAGAGAACCAAGGCAAGTAGCACCTTGACCCTGCAACATTGTCTTCCCTTGAGCTCCACTCCCATCCTAACCTACATAAATCCTAACATACAACCTACACCCTCTCCCAACATACCTACAATGATAAAATAAAATAAAAAATAGAACATAAATAAGTGATAGATAAAATTGAGAAATAATTCGAAAGTTTCTTAGGAGGAAAAGATTTAAAAATTTTAAATTTTAAATTTTAAATTTCAAATTTCAAAATTAAATTTAAATTTGAAACATAAGCTTTGTTCGTTGGGACTGCACTAAAACTATAACTGAATACCACTTGGACTGTAATATATGATAAAAATCATAAATATTTAATAAACGAAACAAATGTGGTTAAAATAAAGGCACTTCTTGGTTTGTTGACATTTCAAACCACAGCAGTTTCTAAAAGATCTTGGCTTACAACTCATTACTCAGGATGAAGAAGAAAGATTATAGAACAAACGAATGCCATGTGGTTGTAGCTCACATGGCGATCTTCAAGAACATGTTTGTGAACGTAGTTCTACATAGCAGCAAAACATCTAAAAAATGTTTCCACGAAATAAAGATCACAAAACTCTTCATAAATTCATGCCATGTTATGCTACTCTATGTGTCATACATTTTAAGCTGGTGTGTGTTAATTATGCCAACATTGAAGGTTTGTAATTATATTGCTGCAATACGAATACTTACCTAATCTTCTCATCTTCATACAGATTAGAGCCGATATTTCTAACAGTTCCAGGATCTAATTAAATTCCATAACAATTTGCAAGATTGTTTATTCGCGAAATGCTGGAAACTTCTTTGCATTTTGTCCTCGTTTTGTAACCTTCTTCTCATTTTAAATGTAATCATACATTTTCTGATACATTCGTAGGTACGCCAAATATGAAGAAGAAATATGTGTTATTAACACTTCTTATACCTTCCTAATATGTTTATATCGATTTCACGTCTTCTTTAATTGTTACATTGTGTAATTCACACAATTTAGAAATTTCAAATAATTGCCCCGAGCAGATGTTATAAGCAAGATTTCGAAACGTTCCTTTTTGTCATTGTAATGTGTCAATAAATGCAAAGACATTTTATTAATCCGTCAATGATAACATCAATGATATTTGAATGATGCTCAATAAATTAATTAGTTATTTCAGGGAAGAACTGCAGTTTTCAGTTATCCAAACCAACAATATTTCAAAAATCGTTCTTTACTTGAATCGAATAAATAACAATTTTAATACTAGGAATACTATCGTTTCTTAGGCTTTCTTTTTGAATAAATCTCTTAAATTAAGTAATATTTATTAAAATCTTTCATACATAAGTTTGTAGCATAACTTACGCCCTCGTACGCATTAACAGATCTCCTTTATAATTTAAAATTTTTTGTATTTTTATTATTATGTGATGAAACGAAAGCAAAAGAAGTTGGTATTATGTACCGTTAATATTTAAAAAATGTTTGAAAACCTGTATTATTACCATCCGCCCCATAATTTGAGGTAGTTTTCCCCAGGCGATATCCGGCCTTGAATGGAAAGGTGCTTTGATGCATAGCGAAGAGCGACACGACGTTATACAGGGAATATTTAAATTTTTACCCGTTTCATGGCGCCCATACACCACCATTCACGTTATAAATACTCGGACAATTTCCAAGTACGGTGCGAAATTAATGGTTTTCCACCCAGCTCAACCTATTGTTACGACGAAATTGTTTTCATACACACTTAATAGAATTTTGTCTGTTCTCGCCATATTCAACGGTGCCAGCCGTTCGTGAAATTGGGTCATGCACGACCGCCGGTAAAATGCGCATAAATTTCCACAAGAAAACGGACCGTCAAAGGTGGCAGTTGGGGAGGTATTGTTCTTTGGGCAGAAAGCGCATTATGCCTAATCGTTTCTAATCCGGAGCTCGGTGTAATCGCACGGTTGTGTGGAAAACGCGAAATAATTGTAACGAAACGAGGATATAGGGTATAAATACGCGGCTTTCTTGTACCCGCGGGGGTAATATTCCGGTGTAAGTGCTGTTTCCGTTCCACTTCCACGTAGCGAGGAGCAATTTTCTTTAATTATAGCCATTTGAATACTCTGCGACGTAGGGTAAGCCTGCTTTATTTATTCCAATATACTTAGTGAGAGTCACGGCATTATGTGGTTCGGCTTCGTGCCGAAATCGATCTTAAACTTTTTTCCGGAAATGAATTTTATTGCAGCACGAACGACGTTATTATACACGGCTTATAGTCAACTTATTTCGAATAAGAAAGTCGGAGCAAACCCGTGTCAAAGGAGACTAGAGAACTTTGTATGCGAAATTCGATTAGCCATTCAAATGCTGTCTTCTTTGAATAGGAATTGTTTTCCATTACCCAAAGATGTAGATAGCTGTGAGGTATAAAAAAGGTCTTTTATTCGAACAAAGAATGAAAATCGAATCAGCATATATCTTCCTACATATTCTCTGAATCATTATCAGTAAGATGGTATAGAAATATTAAACAGAGTTTTACAATTCAGGTCAATTTTTTAAACATATATGAGAAGTTGTATCAAATAAAAAAGTCATAAAAAATAGTGGTGGTTTTATTACATCGGATGTTCGAAAATTTCGATATGCGAAATTCAGAGTTTTGTAACCATAAATGAATATTTCAGCGTAGTTGGTTTTATTAAAAACAGAAACAAATAGTTGTTAGTCGGCAACAGTTTAAATGATTAATGTATGTATTAGTTTTTGTATTAATTGAGATTGTCATCTTGACAACACTACCACCAAAACTCAATCTAAATGTTCGGTCAGACAAAACTTCAGATCGGTTATGTGAAACGTTTTGTGGCGAAGACCAAATTGTGTCCTAGACAGATGTCGCCGTTGGGGAAGAATCGAGCTGGACGATCCCTGTTCCTTTCAGCGTTTATAATTTTATTATTAGAAAAGAAGTAGCGGCCGTCCGCAGAACGGAAAACTAATTACGAACTGTCTTCTGCCTTATCCGCCAGCGGTCATTTTCTCTACCCGATAGCCACTTGAACTCGAGCCAAAGAGCGCGCACACACGCGCACTTCTCGGTCAGGATAAACGCCCTTAGATACTCAACGCTCTCATCGAAAACGGTGCAGTTTGGGAAAACTTTTTATTTATCGTCTTGGGCGAACTGGGAAACTTATATACACTCCCGAGAGCGAGAGGCGTCGGTTTCGCGTACCGGACGACGTTAAACGTATTTTATATCAACACCAGTTCTCCTCCAAACTTTCCTAAAACGCGCTTTCCTGTAATCGTATATTTCTGTCGTACATGCGGCAACGGATTGTCAGAATCAATCATTAAATTGATAGGGATCGATTCTCTTTATGAAGACAAAGCCTCTCTATTTATGAAGATGTCATTCGTCCGCGGATGAAACCGTCTCAGTGTTCGTCTGACGGGAAACCGATAACGTTCGGACGCGCTGACCAAGAAATAAATGACACTAAAGTCCGGCAATGAGCTGACTGTGGGGAAGTCGATCCATGATGAAGCGAATGCCCTGTAGAACCAATTTAACCTGACACTGATGTACACGTAAGCGAACGTCTTTCGTTTACCGTACTACTACCACTGGAAAAATCAATCATCTCTTATGCATTCCTATCATAAATGAAAACGTTTTGTTTCAGATTTACGGAATTGAACCGACCGACGTTAAAGATCATCGATTATTCGTACGACTTCTTATCCTGGTAAGTTTTATTATATTTTTAACAATTTACTACGAAATGGTTCTATCATGTATTGTTTAAATCGTGCTGGCCGTCTTGCCATAAATATTTTTAATATATATAAATATAAATATTGCCATAAATAAAATATAGTTGAATTAATAATAATCAATAGTCAGTCTCTCGACTATGACATTGGTTCATCATCTGCAATGTATTACGATGGGCATACTGAGTTAGCTATGGGGATTAGGAATCTGCTAACAGACGTTCTGCCATCATCGGCAAGGTAGTTTCGGGTTGGTGCTAAACCCTAACCGGCTAAGGCTCGTTACTACCATCTTCTTCTGATTAATCTTGCGATCTTTGATTCGAGGATCATCGTAATGGTCGAAAGAAAAAATTTGAAAAAATGATGAAAATATATTTATTAAAAAATATTTAAAATCAGTGCTACTAGTTTCGGGAGTAACTTCGCCCTTCTTCTGGCACGACTGAAATGTACAAATTATTTGTTATTATTAAAATTAACTAGATAATAGGAAGTTAATAGTTACCGTCAAATTACGAGATTTTAATCGGAGAGTAGAATTCAATTAACATCTTAAACGATCCATGAGAAAAAGTATACAAAATACGACACATTGAACAACATCTAAAGTTTAAATTCTAAAAATTCCAAATTATTAACAAAGTTAAAAGCAAGATATAATAAAAGAAATTAAGAATTGAATCTTAAAACATGATTTTCGTTAAAGAAAAGCCAAAAAAGTGTGAACGTTCTAAAATTAAAGCTGAAAAGATAAGATTATAAGAATTTATGAGAGAAGCTTAGAAAAAGTTAACTTACTAATATAAAATTCTGAAATTGTTGAAAAACTAAAAAATTATTGAGGGTCCATCTGGTGTGTAAGAACTTACACACCCACTTAATCTTCTGATTAAGCTACCTAAGGGATTATTACCACGGTTAGTGCTATTTTACGCGCTCTGATTGGCTAGTAGATGGGTTTATCTATAAGATAAATTTAACAAAAAAAGATGGTAGTAATGGACCTAAATCGTTCCCCCGTCTATAGTCTTCTTTGCAGTATTTTACTTCTTCTATTTTTCGTCCTACCTGTTAACTTTGGTTTATATCAATATAATGCGTATATCAAGTGCCCATCATATCTGAATTCAAGCAATTATGTATAAAGTCTTCATCATCTCTGCAACGAACATTCCCCATGTTTTTATAAAGTCAAGTCTGTTTCGAAACTAGATCTATCAGCACAGCAAAACTTTAAGATTACTATACAGGATGGCCCATTGAAAACGAGCTGAAGGGCATAACTGCCAGGGAAAAATTTTATCGAAAAAAACCTGAAACACGTCAAATTTGTTGACCCCCTAAGAAACAAACTTTATGTGTTTCAGTTCTTTTTCGATAAAATCGTTCCCTGGCTGTTATGCCCTCCAGTTCCTTTTCAATGGGCCACCCTGTATATCCCCTTTACCTTCTTATTATATTTGCATAAATTTTGAGGTCTGAATCGAATCTTCATTCGTCAAGTCTTCACCATGTTTCTGATAAGATTAGTATATACGGACTCATGATTCCATTAAGTTCTTCATCACAACAACATAAAATGACCATACAGTCTTTAGTAAATTTGCATAAAATCTCCAGCAAGTCTTCATCGAGTCAACTTTGTATAATGTCTTGAATATGTTTCTATAAACTCAAGCGTTCATCAAGACAGTATAAAATATCTATATATATATATATATATATATATATATATATATATATATATATACGGGTGTAGATATATTACGCCTCCATAAAATTTAGCAGTGCCTACATCAAGACTCCATCAAGTTTGCATCGAGACAGCTGTGTAAAGTATAAAGTCATATCTGCATTTTCATCAAGTTGTTTCTTTCAAGTTTTGTGTGAAGAGACAACATGATTGCTTTATATCTCTATTACATCTATGACTCTTTCAAGATTGCATAAAATCTCCACATGGTTCTTACTAAACCTGTATCAAATATTTGAAAACTCTTGTTTGAGACGCCATATATTCCAGCCGTATCCAGCGCTGTGTTTACTCTCTCTATATTATCGTCAATTTCTGTCTTCATGTCAATTTGTGGTTTTAAATAACTCACCAACAATTGGCCTGTCGAACATTTTAGTGGCGTTTTAGGTTTTGACTTTCTTATCTTCTTCAGGAGCTTCCATATGGACCGATTAGATATTCTCTATTCACAAGGAGGGTCTTGTTCCACATTTTCTCCTTGTGCTTATCTACAATTTTCTTAACTGCCTTTTGTAGCAGGTTATACAACTTTTTGTGTTGTAATTTGTTATTCTTTGTTGATTTCAACATGACTTTAATGGCGACAGTTAATCTTTGGACTTTTAAATTTATATCTATCTATCTTTTATATATATTAACTAATTGTAAGTATTATTCTAACCTGACAGAGAATTTTGGCCAGTGAATGGTTTGTGATAAACTCAGAAATTGGTGTTTAGGTTAAAGATGATTTACTTACATTGGGCGAAACTCTTGTTGAATCATTTTAATGGTTTATATTTAACGTCGAATGTGATGGTTACTCATGTTTGTGTCTTATATTAGTAGCTATCTATTACAACCAGGCATAATACATTTATAGTAACTAATTTGCGAAAGTAGATGCTACTGACCTTACGATATTTTATAACAATAATATTATTTAAACCTAACTAACTTACTCATCACCTACTCAATCATTTATTAATAACATTTACAATTAGTCATACTCTCTTACACATTGCCCGTGGAGTCCTACCAGAATTCCCTCCTTTTCAGATTACTGGAAAATTTTGGATTTTCCCGAAACTGGACTTTTTGCATTCAAACTAACGCCACAAATCACTTTCCCATGGTTACCTATTTCCACAATATCACGTTCTTCGGTAGCCTTGTTCCCCGAAACCGTCCAAATCGCTTTAATTTTTGTGATGTAACATCCCTCCTTACCCGCCCTTTTCTGTCCTTTCTGAATCCTTGTGTTCTATTAATATGACTTCAGGCGGATTTCGCTTATCATCATTTCCAAGAACTTTTCTTTGTTTGCAAATTCCAAAAGTTCTTCACACCTTTTGCTAACTTCTGAGGCGGTCTTATCATTTCTAATTTATTCTATTACAGCAGGGCAGGAGTATTGAGAACTATCGGAACCACCTTTTGATCTTCAATATATTCGACGTTGTGTGGGGCAGGGTTGTTCGATGTAACGACCTTCTCAGTAGATGCTACTTTACTAGCATAAGGTTTCATTTTGGCGTTCTGAATGTTGGCCTTTCTTACATCAGGCCTTTTCAATTTGCGCATCTTGTCGGTGAAGTTATCATATTCGGGCAATCAAATGATGTATGCATGTCCCTACATTTACGTAGGTTACGGGACTAAATAGTTGGCATCTAAACCATTCATGAAGTATTCTCTGGGGTTTCGTCTACACCTTTAATTGGCGAACTTCCCGGACGTCGAACAGCGTTTTCCCTTGTCTTTTTCGCTCATCGTCTTAACGTTGTTGAAGTGGATCCTTTTCCTTCAAATCATCTTCTATTTCCTCAATTTTGATTCCCCCTGAATTCCTTTTAATACGAACTGCCACTCCATTTCTCTGGGAATTGATAGTAATGAAATTTCATTTTCATCGCCTCTATCACTCGTCTAAATTTTCTAAAGTCTTCCAGTGTTGGCTTGAGTATCTTGATCCCTTCCTTTATGTTGATGTGTTTTGACTTCTTTAAACCTTGTATCTTGGACGTCTTCCTCTTCCTAATCGGAGGCTGGTAATACCTACTACTATTCTTCTTCCTCTGAATGAACTCCTCTTCAATTTTGCTGGTTTCGCTACCATCCAATGTTATTTCGCTGTCCTAAAACGGCCTTTTCTTGAGTTTACATTCATCTCCCTTTATTCTTTTCTTCATTCTCTTGGACCTTCGTCAGGTTACGAAACTTCACCTCATTGAGCTGCTCTAAGCCGCTTCTTAACTCTTCGTTTTCTACATTTGATATCCTCGATTTGCTTCCACCTTTGGAAGCTTTATTCTACCTTGAAAATTTTTCTATTTTCCTTGGCCCTTTGGGGGCTATTATATCTTATTATACCTTTATATATATTTACCTGGGGTAATTTGAAATTATTAAAAATTTCTTGTGGATCGCCTTGCAGCGTTATACTCGTTCAAAAATTAAGAACAAATTTTTTCGTTTCTTTTAAGACACTATCTACTATATGTACCTATAAGATAGGTGAAAAGGTAAATTGACTGATAATTACGTATTCCTGTCCAGTTAAAGTTAACTACAAAAGACAAGCCAATGAACTTGCATTATTCATTAAAGCTACAGAGAGACTGGTCGCAATGCGACCATCGAAACTGTTTAAAGTGGCGCTTTTTGAATCGGATTAACATTTAAGGTAGGCGTACTGCGGCCATCGGCATCTAGTGGCAGGCACTCGTATTTGAAATTCCGATCGCCATCGCCATTCTCCATTAAGTATTCGATCCCAGCGGTTGACATCGGCGTATCGACTGGGTTAATTCTCACTTGACATGGAAGCAGCATGGAGAAAATGGAAAATTTTTCCGTCAACGCGTGAAAATCGACAACAACGTCCCCGCTTTTCAACGGTCCCGTGACAATTTGGATCCACTCCGGTGGCGCCCGAATCAAATGTCGCTAATGCTTTTTCATCGTCTACCCTCGGTACTCGGCCATATCCCGAAACTATCCCATTTAATCACTGTACCCATGGGACCAGCCGAGGGAGCAATATAACGATTTGGCATTCAGTTATTTACTCTACGTCGCATATCTCAGCGGATATGTTTCAATCATTTTTTATCTTATCCAGACGAGATAAAATCTACCACATAGTAAAGATATTGATGCACTTTTTAGTTAACGTTCGCATTACACTCTAGACGATATCGATGTCGACATAATATGGTTTGGGAGTAGGTT